ACTTTATTTATAAACACCTTCTCAAACAAAATTTTTTTATTCTCTTTAAATATTTTCTCTCAAGATAAAGGATTCAGTACTTCTATGATTTGAAGAAATCTTTGTTTATACAACTTAGATTACAAACCTAAAAGCACGTAGGAGTCTTCTCGTTTATAAATTGCAAAGTTGTTTCCGTGTAGAAACTCTAGTACCCTGTCTCTATGGAGACTTTTATAACTAAAATTTAAAGGAAAGTTTAGCAACTGGTAATGATTTGAGAATTTTCAAATCTTTGGTATAACGCTACTATGATTTTCCTTTCCTTTCCTTTTCTGGGTTTCGTCTTGTCTTAGATAGGACCATGACCAACATCGCACATTTTCATTGATTAAACCGTGTTAGAAAATGAATAGGGTGAGAAATCATATCCCCTTTCCGAGCAAAATGAAACATATCACATTCCAAGTGGGTCCATGAATTCAATGTTTCTGCCACTTCGACAAAATCCTGACAAGTGACAGCCATAGACACTTCTAGTTGCTGATATCAATGGTGCGTGGCTATTCTTATCTGATCACCCAGCAGGCCAAAATCTCATTTTCTCTTTTAAGGTTGCTTCTTGATCCTGGACCATAAAGCAACTCTTCTACCCATCGAGGCTTAGAGGAAGAAAAGAAGACATGAAATGAAAAATAAACCCCAGAAAGCAGAAAATTTCTACTACTTACTGTAATAGAAAAGTGCTATCTGTCCCGTTTGTTTAGATAAAATTTAGTACTAGGACAGTGATTTAATCTTAATTTGCACTCATTGTTCACATTTGCCACTTGGGCTTGCATGTAATCTGGGAGTATTTTGTTTTGATACTTGATCTTGAAGTCTCTGCTGTCCTGTTTTGGAACCACAGAAAGAAGCTCTTTTTATCTGGTTTGAAAGTCCAAAAACAGTGGAAAAAATTGGTTTACACCAACCTTATTATCAACTTATAAACTGGGTGTTGTCATATTTCTTAATAATCGACGAAGTGAAGTTATCAAAGGTTTCGTATTTGAACGAAGGGTAACCCTTTGGGACCATATTAAAGATTAAGATGTCCTGATTTGATTGAAAGATAATAGCCAAGTTCTGGCAATTCCGAGGAGTGTATCATCATTTTCACTCATAGCTACAAGGAATCCTAACTAGTTTATGATGGAGTAATTTAGGCACATCCATTTCATGATGCAACTTTCTGTCAAACAACATAATGATAGGTTCAGTACACAAACCACATGATTAGTCAAAAGCTAATTGAATGAAAAATATATTTCAGCTGGTGGAACAAGTGAATCCATTCAACAGAGAAAAAGGAAAACAAAAATTCTGAAAGAAGCGATAAGGAAGTGTGAACATAATTCTGTTTTTAGGTTTTATAATATTATTTGTATGTCCTATTGGAACAAAATAATATTGGGTTTATGAGCCAAGTTTCACATTTTCTTTTCTTGATTTAACTGTTTCACAAAATATAAAAATAAATATATATTTTTTCATGGTTTACATATGTGCAGGAAAGAAATAAACAAAGAATGAAGATAGGGATGCAAGTGCAACTGACAAAAGCTACCTAATTAACTACTGCTTTGCATCGTCAGATTAAGATATGGTACTATAATTTTCCCTTTAATATTTCCTCCCAGCCCCAGAAGATAATATACTAGTACTGATATATGAATGTGATGATAAATAAAACATAGAAGAAACAAATTGAGTAAAACAAAACATGATAGCTTCTTTTTCTTTACGTTTTGCACGTAGGCACACATTTGCTTGATTGAAAGCATGTATCTACGTGACAATTTATTTATTTATTTGTTTGCATGAATACGTACATGATCATTAATTATATATTTACTTCATGTGAACATATTTTTTTTAATAATTACATTAATAAATTTCATGAATGGTAATTTCATATTGATTTGTTGAACTAATTCCGGGATTAGATTCAAGTAACAAAATCAAGTGAACGCTATTTTATCCAACTTTCCGACTATATATATATATACCGACCTGAATTCCTAAGTCAAGATGGATATATAAGAAACATGACTTGTAATATATATTATAATTTTTCAAAAGTTATTAGTATTTGAAAATTCTAGAGCATATATATATATATATATATATAAATGATTGTGACCTCCAAACATGAGGGAACTGCAGGAAACGTGGACGGGAGATAAGAAAGAAATGGGTGTTTGATGGGTTGCAAGAATTTGGCAAAAGAAACAAGGCAAATACATAAAGCTACTAGAGTGTGGACGCACCAGATCGACCATGAGGACTATCGTTATCGTGCCCACTGCCCAGCCACTTGGTCTCTCTTGCTGGATAAGGAAGAAAACAACAACAAACAATTCTTCCAGTTTGCCGATTGAGTATTGTCTTAGCCTCCTAATTATATATATATCTCGCATTTTCTATCTATTCTATCTTTATCTTAGGAGAAATTTTGACGCACGCATGCACACGCAATCATGCAACTAGTAATTATTTTGGTGGAAAACCTTACATATAGGTGTATGTTTTTGACTTAATGGCTTCTTCAATATAATGGTCTAATATGTTAATTATGTGTAATATTATATAATATATCATTAATATTATAACTTTATCTGTATTTAATTTTTTTTTTTTGTAAAATTTTGCAAATGAAGCTTTGGGTATGTTGGTTTTACAAGCACATCGACACTCCAAGATACACGGTTTTTTAAGTAATCATATCTGTAGTTAAATAATCAAAAATAATTGTCATAAAATGAATTTCAAATGCAAATAAAGAAATTAATGTGTGAACCAAATTGCCGTTTGGTACAAATATTTTATTAGCCTAACAACTTCACAACCGCTGAGAAAGAGAAAACCTGTTAGTTCGTTCAACTTTGAGAGTGAAAGCAGCCAATAATAATATCATCATTTTGTTATAAGTGCTTTTCACCAGGACCGGAGGGTTATGTTGTTACGAGGGCATGGCCTTCCACAATTTTTAAAATATTGTATATATTATATATTTTAAATATTAATTTATATTAATTTTTTAAAAATAATATTAATTTATATTATAATAAATAAGAAAATATTTAATTCCCAAAATTTATAAAATATTTTATATATTATATATTTAAAATATTAAATCATATCATTATTATGAGAATATGAATTGTTAAAGAGATTAGTAAAAATAGGAAAATCAAAAAATTATTATTGATTGATAAATTAATTTGTTATGTTTTGACTCTATAAAGTTACTCATTTTAATAATAAAAATTATGAAAATAAGATTTGATAACAAACTAGATAATAATTTTTACAAATAATTTAACTGTTTATATTGAGAAAAACGTTATTAAATTTTTTAGTATAAAATTAATAATTGTTAAATTTGAATATAAAAAATATTATCGAGCATAATTTTTTTAGAAAACTATTATAAGTATTTTTTTATTTTTTTTCTTTCACGTATTATACAAAATTATTTTTTATTATAAATATTTTAATTATTAATTAAATTTAAAATTTTAATTTTAAAAACTTTTAATCTTTATTTTTCATCTTTGATCCCTCATTAAAAATTAGCTTTCACGGAGCATATAGATATGGCCATTGGGAACCACTTTTCAAGACCATTTGTCGTGATATAAGTACATTGGCAAAAATCAAAAACTATGCCTCAAATAGTAACTATAATCATCTTCCTCAACTCTTTCGTAAAGAACGGTAGATGAAGTGAAAATTAGTTTGCAAGTTTTAAAAGTGTAAGCAAGTAATGCCTTGTGGGTATACACGTGGCTGTATATCAGCGGTTAGGTGATTCTCGGGGCGCTGGCGCTTGAACCCTCCTGCTGATCATCTCTCAAAGGCAATGCTTTCGGGAGAAGGACGTGGGCCACTGACATCAGGCACATGACCAGTAGGCCCCGCCGTCCATCCATCCGTTCTATTCTATTTTTAGGCTTTATTTGTATCGTATCAGACATATTGGGGGCCCCAAAAGATTCTGCAATCTCCCACATTGGCTCTTATGGACCCAAGCTTCTTTTGTTTCGGCCTCAAAAGGTTGTAGAGATCATGTCTTGTCTGGTGATAAGCTCGTGGAAGTTTCAATCTTTTCCTTTCTTTTTTTTTTTTGTAATTAGAACCTCGTGAATCATATTATTCAAACTAGTTCCTTCTCCATTTTGTCCATAATATATATATATATATATATATATATACTTTTTAATTCTCATCGGCATATAGTACTTCTTTTGACAACAGCATAACAGCATTAAGAATTTGAAGGTAAATTCTAAATTTTGTAAGAAAAAGTGGAAATGATCTATCTTTGGGTCCTTAATAAATAATCAAAGACCAATTCTTCACATTTTTTGGATTGTTGTTTCTCACACAAGGATGGATTAACAATTCGTCAAATTGTACACGCTCCTTGGATTTTTCGTGCACACGTTACTGAATACAAGTCTGAAATTAACTTATCGTCTTCTATAGCTTCTGGTTTTGCACTGAGGAACCGTCCAAGTTCATTCTCAAAGATCAACTTGCACTTGATTTTGGCAACCCCGATCAAAACGAAGTTTGCTTTGCTTCCCAAGACTATTCTTAACAAAATCTCTTTCGCTTCGAAAAAAGAAAATAAAAATAATATATTAGATGGAGATGAGTCAGATCACTTAAGTTTATTAATTCCAACTCATCAATTTAACCTAATCCCATAATTATTGAAGTGGACCGGATAGGATTTGAACTGAAATGTTAGCAAACTCCACTTAAGGAAAGATAAGGGTGCAACTTTTTGGAATTCCGGAGTATTTATGCTCTGATGATGCGAAGGGTGGTTGGAATGAAGAGCTTCAATACCAACAAGAGGCCAACTTAGAAACGATGTAACATTCTTTCCCTTCTGTTTTTGCAAAGGGAATTTCGGATTTCGAATTTCCCCACCTGACAGATTTTCAACCTTAACAGGGCCCAACATGGATCCGTCAGAACAAAATACTGGAATTATAATGCGAAAGAATCCATACAAATACAATAGTAACATTCCCCCAAGCAATTCGGAAAACCAAATTCTAAAAGGCTATAGATAGGTAATCAAGCACATCATGCAGCCGGATTTTGATATTTACTTTCTCTTCCAGGATGGAAGGCATAGCAACCTGCAAGATCATTTCGCTGTTCACAGGATGATGTGGGGACTTGGTTAACGTTGCACATAAAATCGGTTTCAGGACAACAATGCAACGAGGCAAGCAACAGGCAAATAAAAGATGATCCAGTGAATAGAGAAACTTTATTACTTATTGATTTCACCTATCAACCCATCATCAGGTCATCATCCAAGTCCCTCAGGATATAATTTCAGCTGTGCCCGTGATTCAACGATGGTCTGAAAATAAAGAATCGGCTACAATGAATTGAACTTATTGTTAAAATTGGCCGTACCAAATACTATGGCAAGTCAAGCACATATATGAATATGTGAATAATTGGTGGGCTATACTTCCATGTGATGCAATCCCTCTGAACTATGCCGCACAGCTTCTAAGTCACAAGAAAATCCAGTAGTTTTAGATGCACCTCTTTCCAAATGCTCAAGAAAATCCATGACCACAGAATCAGTCCAAGGAGCTCCTAGTGGAGCCTCGGCACCTGCAACCCACCCTAAATGCCCACCTTTGGGTGTCACTATTAGCATGCAGTTTGGATTTTCCTGAGACAGCAAGCATAATCTTTCATTAAAAACAGCTTAAAAAAGGAAGAGGATATGTAAAATTAAATATTATTTCCACGAGATTACATTCTTTCCATGAAGCCAAAATGATAGAAGACAACAGTAGGTTAAATTACTCTGCATCCCATCTTGATGTCATGTGATCAAAGGCAATATATATTCCCACTGATCCGAAGAGCTGACAGGAGCTGTTCTCAATAATATTCTCAATTGAAAGAATTTCATTGGCATCATCCGATCAACAGATATATTATAAAATTGATCTTTACAAGATGAACTGTTAGAAATTTGACAGGAATTACAATATAGAGCAACAACCAGATGGCAATCATTTGGATGGGTTTAAATTCAATCCTCAGTACATTTTAATATTTTTCTGTATGATTAACTGGTTGCTTTATGCCTGAACCATGCCATAGATAATGGCTGAAGACCGAATGCAGTCCCGCCTACCATGTAAAGTGTCATAAACCAACCTTGTATAGAGTTATGGCAAAGTAGAACTATCTAGAAAATTAAATCCTTTGTATTCTCAGGGAAGATGTTCCCTTTTAAACATTGTAATGACACTTGGTAATGTCTTTGAAAATGCTTATTAAGTTTTTAGGAGAAGACTCTCCAAAGAAAGAATGTCCCATCTCACGTCAGCAATGATGTTATCCTTTAACAGAAAAATTGGATGCCATTAAAGAAAAAGACTAAATTGACGTAATTCTAAAAAATCAAAAAACTAAATTGCTTCGATTTTGAGTACAGGGATTAAATTGAATAAAATTAAAAAGTACAGGAGCTGAATAGGTCTTGTAACCATTGGAGAATTGTTGGACTGCCTAGTATATTTATAGCGAACCATCTAAAGCTGCCCTTATGACTCGACAATGGAGCATATTGATCTCTTTGTACTTATCTCCATATTAATAAAATATTTTTTTATGTGATTTTAGTGGTTGTGCATATGATATTCGTTATACCCTATGATTTTGATGTTGTGCTGTCTTAAATTAATTTATAGATATTATTGATGTTTGATTAGATATAAATAAGTTATTAATTAACTTATGTGGAAGCATCCATCCAAGTGCCAGAGGCTCTCTTACTGCCCTACTCTACTGCTTTGACCATATACAGATTTCACTACAAACCATAGGAGTTTTTGGAAGGTCAAGTTTGCCAGATCATTAGTTATGAACAAACTCAATGACTTCAAGTAATTCTCCACCAAAACAAACACATAGCGCACATGCTTGTTCCTAGAAACAAATTTAATAGCAGAACGTTTAACTTCCTGTGGTCGTGGACCTTCCATTGCCAGGAAATATTAACTGCTAACATTGGGATGTTCTCAGGAATAATGAGAGACCATTGCTATAATTATCTCCCAAAATTAGTAAAAATTGTCATGATACATCAAAACCTCTTTATCTAATGTCCCATAGCAATGCATATGAAAGGAGATATGGAAAAACTAGATTCAGGCCTAGATGAATAGGATGTGGTGAAAAGGGAGGTGACCAATTACCATAGGTTTTGTTCAAGGAAAAACCCCCCAGCTTAATATTGTCTGAGAATGCAAGTATGATAAAAGAATATAGATAAGAGCTGGAAGAAAAGGTCTGGAATGGATTTAGGAGTCTTTCTGTCAGCCACATCTGGTGAGAGTCACTCATCCTATAAGGTTTGTGTCTATATGTGTAATCCAGTCAATGAGAATGCTTAAATAAAACAGAAACAGTTAGAAAACAGGGTTCTATAATCAAGTTAGAAAGTTACCAAACAGATTGCATGTTGTCTTTGATGACTTAAAATGATTTAAACCAAATAAGGAAAGAAGCAATAGCTCAATAAACTAGACAGCAATCAACATACCCTGATATCTTCCCAAGGAATTCCCCTAGATGGTGCAATTGGATCATTTGCCGCCTGCAATAGCACATCTTTAAACATAAGTTGAATGTAGTAATGGAAATTTCCCTTTCAAACATGCCTTTCAAACCCAAACAAAAATGCAACTCCTAAATAAAAGATAAGCTAGACAAAATTTGAATATTGAAGCTAGCCAGCAACTCCACTGCTTAAAACAACTGCTACAGACACAAAATTCATGTAACAAGGCACAATGATTACTGAGAGAAGTGAAGAACCAAAATAAAACACACACTAGAGCCATGAAATTCAGTTCTGATGATCTAGTTGAGCTGCTATCATTTTCATACCTTCTTTGAAAAGCAAGCTCTGGACATGAGAATATGAACCGACGACTAAAGGCCTCCAATATTCTTGATTATGCAAAAAGTTTAAGATTACACATGTATCATTGTAAAGAAGAAATCAATGTCAGTAAAGGTATCATGAATGAATTGAAAGACACCACCCCATTCCCCAATGTCTGCATGATTAGATTTGTCTTTT